TTTTTGGTTTTTCTCCGGTACCGGGAACCGAACTCACGACGTTGCGCTTGCCAGGCAGGCGCTTTGCCGCTGAGCTAAATCCCCAGCCCCCTTAGAAGCATTCTTAACCCCTCTTTCACCAGTAAAGATTTAAGTGATTATCTTTAAGAAAAAGTAACACCAGTGTGCTAGGTTTACTGAATAGACAGAACAATAGAGGGCCAGGGATGTAGCTCAGCTTCACAAGTGCCTGCCTGGCAAGCTCAAGATCCTGAGTTTAATTTCCAGTACCCCCCCCCCCAAAAAAAGAATACCCATAGTTGACTTTTAAGTTATTATTGGAAGGAACATTTATATATCTTAATTATGTGTACTATATCTAATAGTAAACAAAGCTGTTGGGTGTAACCTTAAAAATAGACAAAAAACAGACAAGAGAGCCAGTTATGGTGGCATACCTGTATAATCCCAGCGCTGGGAGGCTGCCATTAGGGAGGGTGCAAATTTGAAGCCAGTCTTAGCTATATAAGACCCTAAGACCAAAAAAAAAAAAAAAAGAAAATAGATACCACATGGTTATGGTGGCACATGCCTAAGATCCCAGCTACTTGAGAGGCTAAGGCAGGAGAACCTTGAGTTTAAGGGCAGCCTGGACATCTTAGTAAGACCCTGCCTCAAACAGGTCTGAAGTTGGGGAATGTAGCTCAGTGGTAGAACACATGGGATTGATCACTAGTACTAAAAAAAAGGGAGGAGGGTCTAATAAAGTTACCTTTCAAGCCGGGTGTGGCGCACACCTGTAATCCCAGCACTCTGGAGGCTAATGCAGGAGGATTGACGTGGGTTTGAGGTCAGCCTGTGCTGTATATTGGTTCAAAGCCAGCCTGAACTACATAACATGAGCCTGTCTCTAAAAAACATAAAGCTGGGAAGAAAATTCAGTAGTGATGCAAAATACTACTGTAAGTTTTCTAAAAAAAAAAACACCAGAAGAGTCAGCTAAGGGGCTGGGGGTGTAAATCAGAGGTAACATACTTGCCTTAGCATGTACAGAGGAAAAAAAAATTTAAAAATATAAAAATTTTAAAAATCAGCTAAAAAAGTTACATGATTAATGTCAAAGAAAGTGAAAAGCATGGTGGTAGTAAAGGATTGCTACTTGTTTTAATTAATTGGTGTAACTAGTTGATCCTTTATACTAAATGTATATTTAATTTTTAAATGTTAAAGATACATTAAGATGGGCATGTTAGCAGCACCTGTAATCCCAGCCCTCTGGAAGCTGAGGCAGGAAGATCTTGAGTTTAAGGCCAACCTTAGCTAATAGTGAGTCTGAAACCAGCCTGTGCTACATAGCAAGTGGCTGTACCAGCCTGGAAAGGGTTGCAGGAGATACTGAAGTTTAAGATGGTATGTAACCCAGAGTCGCACATCTGAAAGCTTCATTAGTGCACACTACTGCCTTCCGTGGGAATGTTTTTTTCCAGTGATGGTGATCAAACCCAAGGCCTCACACACACCAGGCAAGTGCTACACCACTGAATAATCCCTAGCCCACAGTAGGAGTATTTTAATTAGACATATACCTCATCTCCCCCAATAAACTTTAAGTTTTTATATACGGAATGACTCAGCCACCTGGGGCACTTCTGAGATTAAAATGAGGTTGATTTATAAAATACCATGCTTTCTGCCTTGTTACCTTTCTAGTAGATTTGGGATTTGGTTTTATTTTCTTTCTTGAGTTCTCCTTATGCTGCGCAGGTTGATCTTGATCTCTTTTCACTTCAGCCATCCTAGTATCACTGAAAATTTTTTGCAAAGATGCTCATGTAGGTGTCCCTAGAGAGAGTACCTTACTGACAGGGATGGGAGAGACGTAAGCGTTTAATTTGGGGACCTAGTGCATAGGGCAGAAGATGCATGAACCTTTCCAACATGACATAGCTGATCAGCCAGTCTTCTCCTTTTTATATCAGTTTTTTACTACTGAACTTCGGCAGTAATTGCCAAGTAAGAATATCCACATGAAATGTTCAGTAGTAATAGCTGTTATGAGCTGTCTTTGGTGCCAAATACCTACAGCTTTACATGTATTTATTTTTTCATTTAATTATCTTTCTCTAGTTAGGCATGATTAGTATTCTCATTTAATAGCTGAGAAAACAGAAATGGAGGAGCCCATCATCATATGTTTTGGGAGTACATCTGCGGAGAACTTAACAGCTTGATTCCCTATTTATTATTAAACAGTATGTGAAGGAGAGGGAAGAGACCCATGCTAGAGGGACACTACCATCCTGTGCGTTTTGTGTCTGATTTGCTATCACACATAGTCATATCCAGTCCCATAGTTCGTTAGCATAACTTGATGACTTCTCTCTTAGTTACTTTGTCGTTACTGGAACAAAATACCTGACATCCACAAGTTAGAGGATGACAGGTTTATTTTAGTTTGTAGAGGTTTCAGTCCATAGTCGGCTGGCTCCAAGGCAGGGTGGCAGAGCAGAAGGGAAACGGTTCATGGCATGCAGACAGGAAGTTAGACATGCTTTTTCTTTCCCTTTTTATTCTACTCAGGTACAAGCTTGTAGGCTGGTGCCTCCCACATCCAGAAGTATGCTAAACAAATCAGTGTACAAATCCAGTATTACACATCCATGATCCAGGCACTCGCACCTAGGAGCACGTGGTGGGGAATCTAGATATAAGGCATAACAACTTCCAAGTATATATTTCCAGTTTATATTTCTTCTGTTCCATAGGTGTCTAGTCTGTGGACCACTTGCCATATTTTTTAATGTTACAATATTTTTAAATGAATTACATTTTGTTACTTATTATTCTAACTGTATGTAGCACAAGACAGTTCCACTGTATTCAGTGCAGTCCAGGTAACCCAAAAGATCACGCACCGATGAAACTACAGACCAACGTATCTATTCGTAATTTCCATTTGAATGTTCTGTAGCAAAGATGGTAAACCATGCTTGCTCCAGTGGGCTATTTGTGTTGTCATTGAAAGCTCTAAGAAGTTCAGGTTCTGTATACTGTTCTGTAGATGCCTCAGACTCACTATGTCTGATTTGATCCTCAAACCTGCTTTCCCTCTGTATCACATAGCGGTATAAGACCCTACCATCCCATCAGATGTTCGGTCATTCTTCAGTCGCCTTTCTTTCCTTTCAGGTTTTTTTTGGCGGGGGGTGTTGTTTGGTTGGTTGATTGGTTTTTTTGAGACAGGGTCTCACTTGTGTAGTGTAGAGTGGCCTTGAACTCACTTATGTAGCTGAGGTTGGCCTCTAACTCACAGTGATCCTCAGCCTTCCGAGTGTGGGGATTACAGGCATGCGCCACCATACCCAGTTAATTTTCTTAGTTTAGGGCTGGGGATTTAGCTCAGCGGCAAAGCGCCTGCCTGGCAAGCGCAAGGTCGTGAGTTCGGTTCCCGGTACCAGAGAAAAA